GCCTTTGGCTTGGGCCATGATCTCAGGGTCCTGGGACCAGCCCCATATCAGGATCTCTTCTCAGTGGGAGCCTGCTTCTCTCTTTCCCTGCCACTCGCCCTGCATGTGCTCTCTCTCTCTCTCTCTGTCAAATAAGTAAATAAATCTTTAAAAAAGAAAAAGAAAACGTAAGCTCTTTAGAACACAGCCTCTTTGTCCATCACTATATCCTTGGCCCCTGGAACATAGCAGACTCTCAATAAATATTTGTTGAAGAAATTAAGATATAGATTTCCTCTCATTTTATAACTGAGATACATTAATATGCTTTTTAATAAAGATTTTATTTATTTATTTGACAGAGATCACAAGTAGGCAGAGAGAAAGGGGAAGCAGGCTCCCCACTGAGCAGAGAGCCCAATGCAGAGCTCAATCCCAGGACCCTGAGACCATGACCTTAGCCGAAGGCAAAGGCTTAACCCCCTGAGCCACCCAGGTGCCCCCATTAATATGCTTTTAAAATCTTGGTCTCTTTACTTTGTTGTACATAAGACTCTCCTCCTGGCCTACCTTCAGGATAGTTTACTTTCCAGAGTTGGTGATGTCTACGTTGACTCTTGAGTTGCCCAACTCTGAAGGCCAGTTGGAAAGTTGAAGTGTTTTGGGCCACTGGACCCTCTGGGCCCCAAATCCCTCCAAATGGATAATAATTCCTAAGGTCTTTGGCTTCGTGGATCAACCCAGTGTAGGCTGGGCTTGCTGACCTTTGAAGCGTTGGTTGGCTGTGTCTTCTCTCTGGCGTTCTTGGCCTCTTAATTCCGGTTGGGAGAGTGATGACTGCAGTTCACAGCCAAAACCAGAGTTAACCATCTTGACATTCTGGGTCCTCCCTGGTACACTGTGTTGAGAAGGGCTCTAATAGAGCCCCCAACCTTTATAATATAGCCCCCTCTAATATAATTAGGTTATACTCCAATATAGCCCCCAACCTAATAACTCCCTCCGCCTTTTGGCACAGTGACTGAAATTTCATATTACCAACTGCTTCGTGGATAGGTTTGCTAGATAAAATTCCTTTATTTGCTAAACCTGGCATTCCTATTCCTGGTCATTGGTGCTAATCAGAAGAAGGACTGGAGAAGCACAGTTTGGTTTCCAGGCAGCGTTACAGTCCCTTTGAAGTTAGTGGTCATACATTTGAAGTCAGGTCAGTCAGCCCGTTTCTGGGTTTTTCTATAGCCACTGTTTAGCTGGGTCAGTGCAGCCGCAGAGTCGATGAAGAATCAGGGTTGTGGTTTAGTCAAACGAGGATGCAGTAGTGGAGAGAGGCAAGGGAGCGATGAGAGCCGCTGTGGAATTTAAGATGGAAAGGAAGGAGATACAGACATAGAAGGGGGGATGAGGGACAGTGAAAGCTCTGCCTTGTGGAGAGGGGAGAATCACTGAGCCTGAGTCCCAGGTGGGTTTTAATTCTACCACTAATGAGCCCCCATGTGATCTTGGGCCAGACGCAAGAGGCTTCAATTTCCTTTTCTCCCTCAGGGGAATGGAGGCCCCGCCTTGCTTACCTCACAAAGCTGTTGAGGGACTCAAAGGAGATAAGGGGTGTAGCCACCTCAAGAGGCACAAAATGGGATATGAATGTGACAGAGTCGCTTTTGTATTTCATAAGTCTGCCTGAGGCCATAGGGAGAGGCTTGTGAGGAAGTAAGGCCAGGGTAGGCCGGCAGCCACTTGCTTAGAATAGGGAGAGACCCTGAGAGGAGCCCTGAGCCCCGGCTCCTGGGCGTTCTCTCCCTGTGGAGAAAAACAGCAGTTCTAGACTAAGCATTCTTTGTTTATCTGTTTTCATCCTCACCATACCACTTCTCCCCATTCTACATATAAGCAAACTGAGGTGGGAAAAGACCTTAAATGCCAGAACTGGCCCTAAGACTGAGCTCTAGTTCCCTATGTCCTATAATATTCTGAGTTTCCATCCCTAAGGCCCTGAGGCTTGGTCTCTTGCCCTAGGACTCGTTATTTCCGGCTCAGTGCACTCTCTTAGCGCCACCCACATTCCACTTCCAGTCCTCACCCACCCTAAGGGTGGCCTTGCCGCTGGAGCTCAGGGGCTTTGATTTCTGAATCCTCCCCTGCCAGTGAGCCACCAGGAAATGGGACTGAGTGAGCTGCAGACCCTGTGTACCCGGTACACGGGGGGGGGGACCTGAGTGGGGGGACCAGCCGATCCCCTCCTCTACCCAACCCACCTTGCTGCTCTGTTTGAGCCCAGGCCCAGCACTTGGTAACCAAGTCAACAGGCCTGCCCTCCTGGGGCAGTTTCTAACTACATTTTCCCTGCTGAGAGCTGACTGGAGAGTATGAGGAGGCCGGTGGCTGTAGGTCTCTCACAGACCTGTATCTGCCTCTCATCGAGCAGCAGACAGACAGTCAACCCAAGCCAGCACCCAGCCAAGCAGCATGGTGAGCAGGGGTCGGGGGCTGGGCATGCTAGTGAGGGTCCTAGTGGACCCAGGCGAGTGGTGTGGGGGATCCCTAGGACTCCAGGTGTTCCCGGGGCTCCTGTGTGCACAGGTGAGATGGGGAGATGGAAAGAGACTTCCATATGTGAGTGTGCCCCCTTAAGTGTGCTGGTACGTGAGAGCACGTGCAGGGGTGGAGGACAGAGTGATGGTAACCAGGATGTGGGTCTGAGACTCTGCTCAGGAGCAGGGCTGCTGAGAGGCTCTGGATCTAGGGGTGGGGAGGATGGAGTAAGCAGCACTGGAACAGGAAGTACAGGCACTTTACAAACCCCGGGCCCCACAGCAGATTCATCGTTGGCCTCTGGTCCTACCTCTCCTGGCTGGCAGGACGCATCCTTGCAGCCCTACCCAGCCGATGCATCCAATCTGACCCCTTATTTCAACAGAGAGAGTGAGAAGGAGGCGGAGGGAAAGAGAGTGTGCTCCCTCTTATCGAGAGCTGGCTGTGCATGGGGCTCCTTTGATATCTTTTGCCAGGCTCCCCACCAGAAGGGATAGAAAAGCAGTGAAGAGCATGGTTGGAGCCAAGCCATTCCCACTCCGAATATTACTGGTTTTGCTCATGACCTTGAGCTACTTGCTTAACCTGAGTGTCAGTTTCCTCTTGTGCAAAATGGCGTCGTGAAAGGACCTACCTACAGGGTTGTCGTGAAGATGAAATGGGATGATGTATGCAGAGCGCTTAGTACAGTGGCTGGTGCCTAATTAACGCTTAGTATAGGGGAACAAATGATGTAATGACAAAGCCTGCCAGGTGCGAGATCACACTAGTTTTACATTCAAGGAAAGGACAGTGGAGCAGCTGAAGAGAAGGAACTTGTCTGAGGTCACAGAGGGATGGGGTTTGAGGCTGAATCTAGGTGATTCCAGGGGTTGAGTTCTTTGCCCCAAACCTGTTGCCCTACAGTAAGGGGCATCATTTCTAATATCTCAAGCTTACCCAAGAGGTCAGAGATGCCTTGTGTGGGCCAGCAGTCATGGGGGCCAAGATGGTGTCTGGCTTTGTAGACAGAGCCCGGGGAGGCTGGAGGTTGCAACTGCCAGGGCTGGCCTTGCCAGTAGACTGGTAAACCCTGTCAGTCCTCCCTGTGTGGTATGAGGATTCCTGGAGTCCTTGTGTCCCTAAGCAATCCCCCCAGCTTAATTCATTACCTTCTCTTACTACGACAGCAGGGGTTGGAGAATGGTAGTTGGTGAGGGGACCCAACATGTATGGTGCCGCAACGTGTCATGCAGTGAGCTAGGCAACTTCTACGCCTTCTTTCATTTAATCCCCATTGTAATTCTAGGAGGGCGTTCTTATTATTGCCCCAGTTCATGGGATGGAGGGAGACCCACAAAGGGGTCAACAGTCTTGCTCAAGGCAAATAGAGAAGTAATGACGATGTATGGTTTAATCCCAGTCCTCTCAAAATCATCAGACAAGGCCCTTGCATCATATTTTAAAAGCCAGGCAAGTGTTAAATTTATGGAGACAACCTCCTCATTAAAAATTATGAAATATTCCAGGCAGGAAAGTATAAAGAATAATATAATAAACACCTGCTACCCAGCTTAAGAAAGAGAATCCCTCTCCAACTGCATACACCACCCTTTTCTCCCAGAGGGAACCATTGTTCCAAATTTAGTGTTAATACTTTCCCTTGCTTTCTTTATTTTTGTAAGACACACATGCTACCAGAATATATAGCAAAATATAAATTTATCTGTAAATGACGCACGACATTATTTTACAAGTTAAAGATCTTTATAAATGGTATCCTGTTGTATGATTCTTCCCTAATTTGCTTTTTTTTTCTGGGAAGAATTTTTTGGTAAGATTCTTTCTTGTAGTTCATCCATTTCAACTTCTGCGCCACTCTTTGTCCATCTTCTCCTGTTGAAGGACATTTAATCGGCTTCTGAGACTGTGGCTCTCCGGCTTCTCCTCTTGTTCACCTGTGTGAGAACTTCTCTAGAGCAAGACCGCCATCAGCACCCCTAGATCTTGCCCATTTTTTTTTCCTCCAAAAGAGATGCATCAATTTAGGCTTCGACCAACTGTTTAAGAATTCCCATTTCTCCACACCCTCTATAAGGTTAAGCCTTCAAGCTTGGGGAAAGCTGATGGATGTGCTCATTTTGTTTTCAAGGTCTGTGGTAATTACTTCTCAAGCAGAGCAAAAAGGCTTATTCTGGTACCCCACTTACCATGCCACCCCCCATCTGTTAACGTGCGGAAGTCTCCCTTCCCGCCCAGTGGGCTGCTGGAGGGCGGGGACCATGCATGAGGTGCTCCGTATCTCCAGTGTCAGCACATCAGGCAGAGAGAAGAGGCTCAGAATGTTTGATGAAGCAAGAGGGTCCAGCTTTCTTGATTCTCATGGGGCTCCTCTAGAAGGGCATTGAACTTTCTGATTTCCAGGACCAAGCAGTTCATCCCAGTCCTGCTTTAGGGGCCAAGCATTCTTTGACCACCAGCCTGGGATCATGTGGGGAAGACCTTCTCCACTCCACTCCACTCCAGAATTATGCACACCCAAGAGAGGAGGGAACAGCCTATCCCCTGCCATCCCAGGCCCACTCTTCCCTTCCTTGCTGGCCTTTCTAGCTGTAACATGAATCTAGAGTTCTTCCTGCTTTCAAAGCCTCTCCCTTGTTTCTGATCCCTGAAGCCTCACTTGGACCCTGCTTCTCTCACCCATGGCCCTTCATTTCTTTCTGTACATGAGTGGAGTGGACTATTATGCTCTGCCGGACTCATCTGACCTCCTCAACACTCTTAATACGCTTAGTCACTGAGTGAGACTCTATAATCTTAGAACTAACTGCCCACATCTGCTTCCTTTGAGGGTTTTGGCCCAGCCCCTGGAGCCACTGCCTATGGGTCCTCAAGGCCACCAGTAAATCCTTAGACACAGGAGGTGGGGCAAGGAGAGCAGGAAACTTTGCCCTCAGCAAGAGAACCATGCAAGAAAGGATTTGGGGCAGGAATGGTGTCCAGGAACGACAGGCTTCTCTTTGCTAAGAGTGTTCTCTGCGCTTTGCCTGCTCAGTGTGAGTGCATCTCAGTCCATGTGGGACAGGCCAATGTGCACATTGGCAATGCCTGCTGGGAGCGCTACTGCTTGGAACACGGGATCCAACCAGATCGACAGATGCCCAGCAACAAGACCATCGGTGGAGGGGACAACTCCTTCAACAACTTCTTTAGTGAAACCGGGGCTGGGAAGCATGTGCTCGGGGCTGTGTTTGTGTGTCTGGAGCCCACGGGGATTGGTGAGTGACCATCCGTCTCTGTCATGTGTGTCACCTTGTCCTGGGCACCACAGCAAGTCCCTCCCCATGCCTGGAGCTCTCGAATTTGTAGCTCACGGGACTCGCAGCCTGTTAAACCACAGATCCGCTGCCACTCAGCCCAAGTCTCAGGGTCACTCTGTAACCCTTTCCTTTTCATTGATGAACACTCAAAGTCAAGGGCCATAACACCTGCATGAATGGAGCTCCTCTAGGGTAGGACTAGGGGTCTGGTGGCCCTGCCCTTTCTGGGTAACTCGGGGAGTCAGGCTGCAGGGGAGGGGGGTGTCTAAAACTCTGCCCATTGCAGATGAAGTTTGGACGGGCACGTACCACCTGCTCTTCCATCCAGAGCAGCTCATCACCAGCAAGGAAAACACTGCCAATAACTACGCCTGAGGTCACTACACCATTGGAAAGGAGCTCATCGACCTGGTACTGGACCAAATTCGGAAGCTTGTGAGTCGTGGCGGGGAGCTGGGGAAGTGGGAATCTAGATTCCTGCAGTGAAGAAGTCTGGACACCAGACAGGAAGAGAACCTCCTGGGTGAGTTTTATTTTGCTTTATTTTATTTGTGGATGAGTTTTTAAAGATGTAGGATCAGGACTAGTGAGGGGGAGCCCTGCATACTGATCAGGGGAGGCAGAGGGTATGCTCTGGCCTGGTGCTGGGTGTCTTCTTTACCTCCTATAGCAACTGGCCTGAGGCTGGGAAGAGTGGTGACAGGGGTAAACATGACCATGAGCTGTCTGGCCTAACTGTGGAGGTCCGTAGGCATTCCCAGAGTCTCGCCTTGTGTTGCAGGGATGTGGGGAGAGGGCCCTGTGAAAAAAAGGGATCCAAATAATCCTGAGCCAAGTATCTGTGATTGGGTTTGGCCTCCATCAAGGATGGGGATCAGGATTCTGGATTGTTGATTTTAGTAGGGAAGCTCTCCAGAAACATGGGAAATTAAGTCAGGAGAAAGCATGTATGGAGCTGGATGGGTTATGATGTTATGAGGACAAAAATGACCATATCATAAGATTCTAGAGAGCTGTGTCTTAGAGACCTCAAGAGGGTTTAGAGAGGAGAAAAAACAAGAGTAGAGAGAATGGGTCCTCCCTATGAGGACCTACTTTGTGCTCTTGGAAAGGATTTAAGGAAAGTTTTGGGGAATTTGAAACAGTTGACTTTTTTCCCTTTCCTCCACTGTGCTTCGTATCCCATATTTCCCTTCATAGCCCACTTTTTAGGCTGAGCAGTGCACGGGACTCCAAGGCTTCCTGGTCTTCCACAGCTTCGGAGGGGGTACCGGCTCGGGCTTCACGTCTCTCCTGATGGAGCGGCTCTCGGTTGACTATGGCAAGAAATCCAAGCTGGATTTCTCCATCTACCCTGCGCCCCAGGTGTCCACTGCCGTGGTGGAGCCCTACAACTCCATCCTGACACCCACAACACCCTGGAGCACTCGGACTGTGCCTTCATGGTGGACAACGAGGCCATCTACGACATCTGCCGCCGCAACCTGGACATCGAGCGCCCCACCTACACCAACCTCAACCGGCTCATCAGCCAGATCGTGTCCTCCATCACGGCCTCCCTGCGCTTCGACGGGGCCCTCAACGTGGACCTGACGGAGTTCCAGACCAACCTGGTGCCCTACCCCCGCATCCACTTCCCCCTGGCCACCTACGCGCCGGTCATCTCTGCGGAGAAGGCCTACCACGAGCAGCTGTCGGTGGCAGAGATCACCAACGCCTGCTTCGAGCCTGCCAACCAGATGGTGAAGTGTGACCCCCGCCACGGCAAGTACATGGCCTGCTGCCTGCTGTACCGGGGCGACGTGGTGCCCAAGGACGTCAACGCCGCCATCGCCGCCATCAAGACCAAGCGCAGTATTCAGTTCGTGGACTGGTGCCCCACGGGCTTCAAGGTCGGGATCAACTACCAGCCCCCCACCGTGGTGCCCGGGGGCGACCTGGCCAAGGTGCAGCGCGCCGTGTGCATGCTGAGCAACACGACCGCCATCGCCGAGGCCTGGGCCCGCCTGGACCACAAGTTCGACCTGATGTACGCCAAGAGGGCTTTTGTGCGCTGGTACGTGGGTGAGGGCATGGAGGAGGGGGAGTTCTCGGAGGCCTGGGAGGATAAGGGTGCCCTGGAGAAGGATTAGATGGATAGCGTGTGTGTGGGGGGGTAAATACTAGCAGAATCCTGTGTGTCTGTCCTAAGTAAAGTGCTGTATCCTCACCATCTCGCAAAGTGTCTTTTTCTCTTGGGAAAATTTGCGGAGCAGGGGTTTCTCCTTCAAGAGAGACAGGAAGGCTGGCATCTTAGCCTGGGTGCCCCAGAAACCAGATCTGGTTCCAGATTTTATTAAAGCGTGTGATTCCAGGAAGAACAGGAATCCAGGAGAATACAGCAGAGAAGGAGGCAGAATTCACCCTAGGGAACATGCAGCTGAATAAACTTAGAATCAGCCCTTGGGTGAGGGGGCAGGAGAGGAAGTAAAGGTGGGGAAAGGCAGGCAATGGCTTCATTCTGCCATTGCCGAAGCCTTTGCCCCACAATGCAGGAACTCCCCAGCACGTCTGGGTGGCACCCACTTAGGCTGCAGCATCAACAGCAAAACCCCCAAGCCCCAGGGCAGGAGGGGAGTGAAGTTGGTCCCAGCCACCCAGGGCTGCAACAAGAGCATGGCTCTCACCCAGGAGGGTCTCAGGTGCGCCTTCCAGCCATCTGCCAGAGCAGGTGCTCACCAACCCCACCCCACAGATTGGCGGTTTGTCTCCTTCAGGCAGGAAGTTTGGGTATAGAGAGTCCAGAAGCTGGCATTAAGGCAGAGCAGTGGCACAGTGGCAGCAATGATGGGGAAATGGCTGGCATCTCCATCAATACTCACCACTTTTTGATAATGACAATTGACCCTTATTTCAATCCCATGCTTCGGGCTATGCAAGCACAGCTTCCAAGCCCCCACTTCCAACCAAATGGCTGGCCCTAAAATCCTTATATATGGATTTTCTGTAGCCTCTGGTGGCCTGGAGGGATGATTTAACCAGTGGAGGGATTGAAACTAGAGCAATCCCCCGCCCCCCGCCCCCAAGAGATTCAATGCTCAGCATTGCCCTCAGCTCTGTCCTTCCCGCACCTTCCCTTTCCCAGGACGGGAGGCTGGGAAGGCAACAGAAATGTCAGCAACACCAGCAAGCTGCTAGCGACCCAAAGGGCTGGAGGAGCCAAGGGATGAGACGGTGAAGCCAGACCCTTGGAGCTGGGATGCCAGGTAGGAGCTGGAGCCACAGCAGAGCCACCAGAGGGGGCAGGAGGTGCCAAGGAGGGAGGGACATCTGGCAGGGTCCACATCCTCTGCCCAAGGTGCCCTCTGATTTAGAGCGAGGGGGAGGAAAACCCTGGCTTCTCCTTCCTCCCACCCTCAATCTCCGGCTAGCGGCTCCCATTCTCTGAACTCAGACGGGAGCTAGTCGGCAAGGGAGGCTAGGTACAAGGAAGGGCAGCAAGTGGGATACCAAGAGAAAGGTCGGGAAGGTGGGGGGAATGGATCTCAGAGCAAACACATACCTACACCGGGTCTAGCATTCAGGGCCTTTGGTGGATCAAATAGGAAAAGGAGAGACTCCTAGTCCCCATCACCTGTCCCTGTCTTGTCCTAATAATTACTCTGTAGTCAGCAGAGAATGGAGGGGAAGCCACAGGAGGGTGAGGGTGAGGGGCTAGGGGAGAAAATGGGCATGCCCAGCACAGCAGTTTGCTCCTTCCGTTTTGTAATTACCTGCCCAGGAACAGCAAGTATTCTCAACTCCTCTTCTAGGATTTAAGCTTACAGGGGTCGCTCTGTCCCAGGCACAGAGGCCTGCAGTTTTGTGTATGTATGTGTGTGTGGTGGTGGTGGGAATCTTTTAATTCAGTGGGAGTATTTAGAAGCCCATTTTGGCTGAGGAGCTCCGCTGTACCTCAAATCCACCACCCACCCCTACCCCAAAAGGGGTGACTTTCAAATCTCTACTTGACTCCTGTGTCTTTCTCTCTCTCAGCTGGTTTCAAACGTGGGAAGAGAAGGGTCATTTGGAAGCCCTTCAAATCCCAAGAAACACCATCATTTATTGAGTACCTACTATGTCCTAGGCCCTGTACCCATATCACCTTGTTTAATCCTAAGGTAAATACAGTGATACGTACTGGACTGGAAGCTTCAGGGGAACAAAGTTTGTTCTAGTCTCAGCACCTATAATGTTGCTGGATGAACATATTAGGCAACACGTGTGTTGAATATTTGTTGGATAGACTTGCTGAATGAATGGCTCTTCTGCAGAAGAGGAGACTGTGGCTCAGAGAAGTCACAGCACTTCCCCAAGGTTACTCAGTTATGAATGGAGGAGTTGGGATTCGAACCCAGGTCAGCCTGGACAGAAACTTCTGCTGCTGTCCTCCCATTCCTTCAGATGCCCTTCCCACTCCTGCCTCAGCCGTTCCAGGCACCCCTCCAGACGCCACTCTCTGAACCTGCTAGTTCTCTAATGCCCAGACAGTGACTCAGGCACCTCAAAGGCAAGGAGGGAGTGACGCCTGACACTCCCTTGCCCAGGCGCTGGGGTGGAGGGCACAGGGGAGGGGGGTTGCAGATAAACAGCTTCTGGGACCGAGTGAGGGCAGAAGCATCTTTGAGGACAGGTTTGGGGGCTATCAGTGTCCTCTGGAAAGGGCCCCCAGCCCCAACATCTCATAGAAAGTGAGGTAAGGGCTTGGGAGAGGCCAAAAAGATGTGAGGTCTTCACCTGTCAGGATGTCTGGGCATCCAGTTGGGGGGCCCGGCACCCCTTCTGTCTGCTGCACCAGCCCACCTGCCCACCCTGGGCAGCTGTGTAGCCATCTCAAACCCTGCAAGGCCTTCCCAGCTAGCAACTCTGCTGGCAAGAACTGGCAGTCCTCGGTTACACTAGGTGTGGGTGTGGGGAGGTGGCAACCCAGCCCTCCATGAGGCAGCCAGGAGCGCCACCCAGCCTGGCTCCCTGGGACTCCCTCAGTGCAGGGAATGCTTTCATCCCTGATGCTTCTAAAGCCAGTGTACAATTACCTCCTGCAGGCAGACACAAGAGACAGATTCCCAACTTGGATTTCACCTAACACATTTATTCCTTCATCTCTGGTGTGTTGGGAACATGCCTGCCTCCAAAGCTGCGTTCTCACCATTCCCTCCTTCTGGAACACCACCTCTCCCTGCTTGTTTCGGTGTTGCCATTCCTTCCAGCTTAGATCACAGTCACCCAGAACCATCCAGCCCTGGGAAGCTCCCTGCTCGAGTCTCCCAGCACCTTCTGTCTGTCTCTATCACTCATTCAGTGCTTGGCATGGACTGCCTTGTATGCGGGCACTCAGCTTCTTGCCAATATCTCATTTCTCCAGCTAGATTTGGAAAAGTGCTGTATATAGTCAAAGTTACTATGTGAACGTGCTTCCAAATTGAAAAGGCACAAAAAAGATTTCCAAACAGCAAAAATAAGATTATAAGTGAAAATAAGTCCCCTTCTTTTGTTCTGCTCTTGACAGCCTCCACTATTAACTTTTTTGTTCGTGTTTCTTTCCAGAGACATCTACATATGTTAATGTGTATGCAGTATGTTCAAGACATATGTTCAAGACCCCCACAGACGCCTGAAACCAAGGATAGTACTAGACTCCATATATATTATGTCTTTTGCTACGCATGCATCCCTATGATAAATTTACTTTGTAAATTAGGCACAGTAAGAGGTTAACAATAACAATAAAATAAAACGAGTCTAATAATACGCTGTAACAAAACTTAAGCCAATGTGGTCTCTCTCAAAATATCTCGTGCTATACTCCTGTCCTTCTCATGATGATGTGGATGCTTAAATACCTACAGGACGAGATAAAGCGAAGTGAATGCTGTAGGTATTGTGATGTAGTGTTCGGCTACTACTGACTTTTTTTTTTAAGATTTTATTTATTTATTTGACAGACAGAGATCACAAGTAGGCAGAGAGGCAGGCAGGGAGAGAGAGGAGGAAGCAGGCTCCCCGCTGAGCAGAAAGCCCGATGCGGGGCTCCATCCCAGGACCCTGGGATCATGACCTGAGCTGAAGGCAGAGGCTTTAACCCACTGAGCCACCCAGACGCCCCTACTACTGACTTTCTGATGGTACATCAGAAGGAGGATCTGCTTCCAAACTGTAGTTGACTGTGGGCAACTGAAACTGTGGATAAGGGGGACTACCGTACACACACTTACATATGTACACTTTGTCTTACCCTCTTTTCATTTAGCAAAAAACCCTGAAGATGGTCCTTAACAGTCCATAAGGACGTGCCTGCTTCTTTTTGGTAACAATGTAACAATGCACTATTCTTCCAGGCAGTGTTCCCTTGCTTGTTTCACCAGGCTGCTACTGGTGAGAATTTAGGTTGTTTCCAATTCTTTGCTTTGGAAACAAATTCTGGAACCCTTGTACATACTTCTTTGCCCATATGTACAACCATAAACTCTCAGAATCAGAACCGCTGGGTCAAAGGCTCTGCACTTTTAACTTTGATACACACAGTATTGCTCTCCCACTACCAATGTACTAGCATGCCTGTGCCCAGAGCCTTGCCCACCCAGTATATAAAACATTTTGATCTTTGTCCATCATCTGATAAGTGAAACAAAGTATTTTATTGCCACTTTCCTTATAACTCTCTTGCTATGAATAAGGTGGAGGATCTTTTCATATGTTTCAAAATCAATATTTTCTCTTCTATAAACTCTTGTCTGTGCCTTTTGCCCATTTAAAAAACTGCAGTGTTTGACTTTTCTTGTGAACAAATGAAATTAACCCTTTGATTGCTACATGTGTTTGATATAATTTCCCTTGGTTGTCATTTGTCAATGTCCCAACTAGATTTTTACCACCTTGAGTACAAGGACTGGAACTTAAACCCCTTTGTTTTCCCAATTCTTACTATAATATCACATATACAGTAGGTGCTAGACAAACGTCTGTTGAGATAGGAGAAGTAAGAAGAAAGAGATTTGGAAGATTTTGGAGTGACCTAACCTATTCCTTCCTCTTATACTAAGGCCAGTCAAGACTCTCACTGTAAACAGCAGAAATTAGCTCTGGCAAATTAAAATAAAGGAAAAAGACACCCCCCTCCCCACCTTCACACACACACACACACACACACACACACACACACACATTGGAGAGACACTGGGTAGCACACAGAATTAATACAAGGGCTGTCAGATAAGATTCCGTGAACAGGTAGGCAGCAAGGGAAGCCGAGCATCCAGCACCATAGTCAAGGTCAGGGCACAAGCCAGCCTGCCTAAAAGACCCCGCCCAGTTCCCTACAGAACAGGGGGCTGCAATGAGGCTTCTTCCCACCTAGGCTCTGAGACCGACATTTCCTCCTCCGGACACTAGAGGCTGCTGCTGGCTCCGCTGTCACAATTACCGCAGAAACGAATTCTCAACTGCCCCAGCTTCTCTGTGACTTGCTCCACATTCAAAGTCCCAGTTGGAGCTTTCAACTGGCAAAGTTAATGACCACGTACCCCTAGAGCCGACAAGTCTGGGAGAGCACGTGTCAGGGCTTTGTGACAGGAGGTGGCCCGCCTCCCATCAAGGCCTACACATGGGGAATTCCCCAAAAGTATTCCGAAGGTTCAAACTGTGGCAGCCAGGGAAAGTGGGCAAATGCATGTCACCTTCTTTCCTCTTGTCTGGCTTAAGCCCTTCTCTTTGGTGAAGCATTTCTGGGCCACCCAGCAGAAAACACTCTTCTGGACTCACATAAGCATGACTGCTTGGGCCAGTCATGATGCTAAAGAGGTACGTACTAAGACCCAGATGAACCATGTACCACACCTCGTTTGACTTTCAAACAGCCCTAGTCATTACCTGTATTTAGGTAGGAAAAACTGAGTTCTTAGAGGTTTTGCCAAGTCACACAATAGTGCCAGGTTGCAAAGCCAGGTCTGTCTGTTTTTAAAACCTTGGAATTTCCCACTGGGCTATCTTGTTGGGCTGGAATCTTATCACACTGGAGCTCTGTGAAGCCAGGGACTGGGTCATACTCTTCATTTTACATCCTGACTGCATCTACTATGTAGATGTTCAGGGAATACTTATGGATTAGCCTGAAGGATATCAAGCAGGAACCAATTCTGGAAAGTTCTCTGTCTCATGAGGCCTGAACCCAGGAATCATTTTGAGGTAAGGTATATTTGGGATCACTCTGGGAGGGGTGTGGATCCCACAAAAGCAAAAAGCCAAAAAACCTTGAATCTGGGGAATTTCCTTTTTCCTTTATTTTTGTTTTGTTTTGTTTTCCTTTTATCCTTTAACCCCACCTTCCCTACATGTGTCAAACTGTCAACAATCCAACAGCTATTTTTGAACCCCACAACTGCCCTAAATACTCAAGGGCAAAAAAAAAAAAAAAAAAAAAAGACACAATTTCTGTCCGGTGGAATTTACATTCTAATGGGGGAGGTGAATGTCCATCAAAGAATCGAGCAGGTAAGGGCAGATTTGCAGCTCAGATGAGCGTGATGGTGTCACGAGACGCTGACAGGCAGGTCTGACCTACTCAGGGAAGTTAGGACAGCCTCTTTTCAGGACCTGGGGCGGGAGCAAAGATCTGAAGGGGGAGGATTTAGACCCAGAGGGTTTGTCTGTAAGTCCTTGATATGGGGGATTTTTTCCGGAGTGAGTAGCCGTCAATCACCGAGCCTGTTATAGGAAAAGGACAGGGGGACCGGGGTCCGGGCGGCTCGTTGGCCCGCGAGTGCGTCACGCCAGGATGCAGCCGGCAGGCGTCTCCCAGGTCCCGTCTGGGGATGACGTCGCCCGGGAGCTAGCCCAAAATAGCCGGCTCCGCCCCCATCTCCCGGCAGCCCCTGCAGCCGTCCCCCAACCCCCTCCCCGCTGGGTGACAGGCCCGGTTGGCCTCGTCTGGGTCTCTAGTAGTTTCCGTGCCGCTGACGCATGCTTGCGTGCACAGCTGGGTCGGGCGCGTCCTACGCAGCAGCCGCGAGCCGGGGCGGCCGGTGCCAGACGGTTCCGGCGGGGGGCAGGGGCGGGGCGCTGCAGGAGGCCAGGGACTCCCGACCGAGGAGGTGCGGGCGGGGGGGCCCCGGTCAGGCTGGGAGGCCCTGGGCAGGGCTGCTGGAGTCTCGGGGCTGCGATAGGGCTCCCCGGGCCCTGGGCGCCGAGATAGCCCGCGGCACCGGCCTGCGGGGGCCAGATAAGGCTGCCGGAGGGAGCCTCGTTACTGGTCCCAGCCAGAACCCAGTGGGCGCCGCTTCCTCCTGGGAGCGCCTCCCGCTCCCTCCGGGGGGTGGGGGTCTCCAGGCCCAGAGAGGGGACCCTGGATTCTTCCTGCCTGACGACTCCTCCTCTCCTGCAGCCCCACGGAGGCCCATCTGACTCCTGACGAGTTGCCATGGCATCCTACTACGACATCCTAGACGTGCCGCGAAGTGCGTCCGCTGATGACATCAAGAAGGCGTAAGTGCCTCCGTTGCTCATCAGAAAACCTCTCACCCCCCCAACCCCTCCCCATCACCACCATGGGGTCCTTCAGAGGCCTCGCTGAGGGACCTAGGTCCTTAGGATTGGGGGCTCCCTCCATAGGAGGGAAGAAGACCCCTGGAAGAGTAGGAGAAGGCCCCTGGCGTGAAGAAGTTTTGCTGGGAGCTGCACTGTGAGTCCTTCTCCGGTGGATCACACCCCCCTTCCCCATCACTCCTGCCTCAAGTGTCAGCCCCTAGGTGTGGGCTTTCTCAGGATGCCTGCAAAAAATGTCCAGGCCCTGTGACCAGGAGGGTCCAGAGCCCTGTATGCCATGGCCACACAGGTTTCCAATTTTTGCAGCCCCGGTGAGCTCCAGAGGGGTTAGGGCGAGGGCTGTCTCCTGCCCTCGTTTTCTGCTGCTACAAGTCGTTTTAGCACTGGCCGCAGAGGGGAGAGAGAGGGACTCCATTAAAGCTGGGCAGCAGAGGCAGCCCTAGCACCTGGGACAGAAGGGGATCTGAATGGGGAAAGGAATGGGCAAGCAGGTCTTTCTGTTTCTTGGCGAGAGGTGCTTTCTCATGTCTTCCGACCTGCCCACTGGTCCCACTTCCTACAGGTATCGGCGGAAGGCTCTTCAGTGGCACCCAGACAAGAACCCGGATAATAAAGAATTTGCTGAGAGAAAGTTCAAGGAGGTGGCGGAGGCCTATGAAGTGCTGTCAGACAGTAAGGGGGGGCGCGGGGCAGGGCAGCGCCTATCGCCCCCATTTCATGCCCCATCCTACTCCTTCCCAAAGACATGCTGCTACCTCCTGTCCCCTCCATGCGTGTTTCTAACCCGGCAGTTAAGTGACCCCTCTGACAGGGGGCTCTGCAACTTTCTTTTTCTTTTTTTTTTTGCTTCAGTTCAAGTGAGCACCTACTATGTGCAAAGCACCCTCTTACTCTTTCCCTAATCCCTGTGCTCAGTGTCTGCGCCCTGGGATCTGGTATGGTAGTTGCAGCATGGGTCTTGACAAGGGGATGCGAGCAGGCCCGGTAACCTACATGTGTGCCGAGCCTGCTTTGTGCCATGCATCGGTGGGTGTAATCCCCAAGGGTCTGACAGCCATCCTGCCGGGCAGAATTTATCATCCCCACTTTATAGGCAAGGAAACAGGCTGAGAGAGATGGGGTGGTTTGCTCAAGGTCACACAGAGCTGGAATACAAATCCGGGTCTGTTGTTGGTTTGGGTTTTTTTTTTTTTTTAAGATTTTATTTATTTATTTTAGAGGGAAAGAGAGAGTGTGAGTGAGGGGGAGGAGCAGAGGGGGAGGGGGAAGGAGGGGGAAAAAGTTTCAAGCAGACTCCACACTGGGCGTGGAGCCCTATGCTGGGCTCCATCTCAGGACCCTGAGATCGTGACCCAAGCCAAAATCGAGTCAGACGCTTAACCGACTCCAGGTCTGTCATTTATTTATTTATTCATTCATTCAAAAAATATTCATTAAGTGTTGGTGGTGCTGGGCCCTTGCTGAGTGCTGGGAACAACGGAGGACAAACAGACACCGTCCTTGTCATCATGGGTTTATTGCGTCTTGCCCCCAGAAGCCCAGCTTTAACCAAGGAAATACATAACCACCAATATTCTGCGGGGGAGCCGCTGGGTGTTGTTGTTGGGGAATACGAGCACCCCTCTTGTTACAATGATCACAGAGGGCCTCTCTGCAGAGGCAACATGGAGGCTAAGCCCTGATTAATAGCATAGTAACAATTAGCTGATATTCGCTGAACACTTTACTGGGTTATCAGGCACCATGCTAAGCAGTTTCCATGGATTGTCTTATTTAATCCTGGCAATGACCCTGCTAGGTCAGTGTTGTGATTGTGCCCATTCTACAGATGAGAGGGAGCCACACTGCAAAGAGCTGGCACTGCTGAAACCTATGGCCCATGTCCCCTGTGCACCCTGCTGCCCGCCCCCCAGCCTCCGTCACTGGGCAATCCTCTGAGGGTCCTAGCCTAGAAGGGGAGGCCGTCATCCCAGAGGGAGGGAGAAATGATTGGGTCTCTTTTTCCAGAGCACAAGCGAGAGATCTACGACCGCTATGGCCGGGAGGGGCTGACTGGGGCTGGTAGGTGGAGCGGTGGGGTGGGGGGGGGGGGCCCAGGGAGGGAAGTGGGTCACAGAGGAGAGGGGGAGGGCAGGGTAGTGCTGTGGATGCTTTCCTAAGGCTCCAGGCCGGGCCTTCACTGGAGTCCCCTGGCTCAGGGCAAGATGCACGCCCTGAGCCCCCTCTTCCTCCTGCCTCTACTCCAGGAACTGGCCCATCCCGCGCAGAACCTGGTGGTGGTGGGCCGGGCTTCACCTTCACCTTCCGCAGCCCTGAGGAGGTCTTCCGGGAGTTCTTTGGGAGTGGAGACCCTTTTGCGGAGCTCTTTGGTGAGTGGGCTTGGGAGGCCTCTGACCAGCTCCAACTCCCGATCCAGGCCCCGCCCTCCATCAGCCGGGAGCCCCTGAGGGAGGAGGCCGAATGGGCAGCAGAATTGTGCAGACAGAAGATTTTGTGGGGGTAGGTCTAGGGACAGCGAGGACAGAACCTGACACAGGCCTGAACCCACAGAGACTCGCTTTATGAAACGAGGGCAACAATGGTATATTGTTAGGCTTGCACAATAGCAGCCGTGAAAGCAGTTCTCAGGGCACCGTGTGACCATCACAGTGACATCACGCATGACAGATAGCATGTTCGCGGCAAAGACTGAGCCCTGTGAGGTGGACAGTTTTCTCCCCACTTACAGATGAGCGCACAAAGGTTCTTGCAGGTAACTTGCTTAGAGTCACCCAGCCAACGGGAGAGTTGGGCCTCCTGACCGGAGGTGAGCCTGATTTCATGCCATGCTTACCTGCCTGTGCCAAAGGAGCTAGCCAACCCCCCTTTCTCTTTCCCTTCCCTCCTCCATTGTCTACTGTGGATGGAATTTGCCAGGGATTTTTTTCATACCTAATATTAAAAAGAAATTTAATTTGTAAACAAGTCCACGATCAAAAAAGAAAAAAAAATCAGAAATGCTTAGTAGGCTCTATTTCAAGGCTAAAAGGCAGGGTGCACACATTTTGGGGGGGAACAGCACTCTTTGCCCGATGATTTTTAATCTGCTTGCTTGTTGCAGACGACCTGGGCCCCTTCTCCGAGCTTCAGAGCCGGGGTTCCCGACACTCGGGCCCCTTCTTCACCTTCTCTTCCTCCTTCCCTGGGCACTCTGGTATGTGCTGTCCGTTAGTGTTTTTGCAAGCTCTGGGTCCTGGAACCCCTCATCCTGACTCGTTCCTTTTCCAAGCCTTCTCTCCTGAGTGTCTGGAGACCTGTCTTCAGGCATCTCTGTGGGGAGACCCCCACAGTGGTTCCTGGCCCCCTCGTGACTGCAGCATGCCAGCGCCATCTTCCCTCTGACCACCTCTCTGCTTCCTCCCTTGTCTCCATGCCAGATTTCTCCTCCTCCTCTTTCTCCTTCAGTCCCGGGGCTGGTGCTTTTCGCTCTGTTTCTACGTCCACCACCTTTGTCCAAGGACGCCGCATCACGACACGCAGGTGAGGGCCCCTTTGGGATCATCCTGGGGGCAGGGGTGCGGGGGTGAGGGGTAGAGGGGGAGTGGCATACGACTAGGTCAGCTGCCTGTGGGCAGAATCTGTCCCATTCGCCATGGCATCCCAGAGTGCGGACAGGCAACTGCGGGGCTCGTGCGTGGCTCTCTGAGTAAACTGTGCCATCCCCCACAGAATCATGGAGAACGGGCAGGAGCGGGTGGAAGTGGAAGAAGACGGACAGCTGAAGTCAGTCACAATCAATGGTGAGGAGTGACTGCCACCCAGTCCCTGGCAGGAAGCCCCAGCACCAGGCCCCAGCCCACCCCACCCCCCGCCACCGCAACACTGTCCTCTCTCAATTCCTTTGGGGCAGGGGAGGAATGGTGGCCACAGGCCCCATGGGCGGAATCAGAGAGGCAGCTCCCTACGAAGGGACCAGGAACTGAGGCGTCCTGGATGCCAGGCACCCACCGTCATCCTTAGTGGGTGCCTGGCGTTTGCAGAGCATGGACTGTTTTGAAAGCACTTGTGCACAGAACATGGGCTCCATGCGGAAGCAGGTGGGGGGAGGGCAGGGTTTTGGTAGCCATCCCGTTCTCCACATGAGGAGAATTGTTACCTCAGCAGGGTTAAATGGCCCAAACCCCCAAGTAGCCCCAGGCCCAAGGCTTTGTCCCACTTAGGAAGAGGAGAAGCGAGGAGTGACCCTCAGGACGCAGGATTCCTGGGCTAGAAGCCTTCCCCCAGCGTCCCACCAAGTGGGATGGTCAGAAAGGACCTGACCTTCCTGGAAGGATCACAGAAGGACGCCCTTCCATGCCTGCCGCCTCTCAGAGCACTGCATGCCAAGTGTGCTTCCTGAGCTGTCTTCTTTAGTTGTGGGAATAGTTTGACAGCGTAGGTGCTCTCACCACCTCCATTCTATAGACGAGGACAGGGAGGCTTAGGGAGGTTGAGTGACTTGCCGAAGGAGACGGCTCGTACCTGCTGGAGCTGGGTACCTGCCCACACGCACGAGCACCGTGCCAGCTGCCGGAATGCGTGCGTGCCAGTTCCAGAGGAGGGGCTGTAAGTGGTCCAAGTCGCCCCTGCATGAGACAGCCTGACAGGATTCCTCTGGCCTGGGTTGGAGGGTGTTATGGCGGCCATGACTCCTGCAGGTGTCCCGGATGACCTGGCGCTGGGCTTGGAGCTGAGCCGTCGAGAGCAGCAACAGGCTGTCGCCTCCAGGTCCGGGGGCACACGGGTCCGGCAGACTCCTGCCTCCCGCCCCTCTGACAGCGACCTCTCTGAGGATGACGAGGACCTACAACTCGCCATGGCCTACAGCCTGTCCGAGATGGAGGCGGCTGGGAAGAAACCCGCAGGTGGGCGGGGGGCGCAGCGTCGACGGCAGGGGCGGCCCAAGGCCCAGGACCGAGATCCCAGCACGGGGGGGACCCCTGAGGCTGCAAGGGGGGATGCGGCCAAGCCTAGCCCATCCCCAGAGGAGAAGGCCTCTCGCTGCCTCATCCTCTGATCACCAAGCCCAGACCACTCTGATTGAGGGTGACTGGGGGTCCTGCTCACTGTCAGGAGCAGAGGGGCAGGGCCTGAGCTGTAGGAGCTCTTCTCCACCTCAGTGCCCCCCCCAATGGGTTTCCCTCCCATGTCCACTCGCACTCCAGTGTGGACTCGGGATTTGCTCTGCTCAGCCACAGCTGATAGGTCCCTGGCGAAGCCCAGGGTAGGGAGCCAACGGGGACCTCCGGGCAGTGGGAGGGCCTCCCAGGAGCCAGGATGCACTTATTCCTACTAGATGGGGAGTTTCTGAGGGGCATTAGTGGTTTGGGTCAGGCCTTTTGTGCCCAGGTCTGTGGCCACCTGTGTTGCTGATGACGTCAAGGAAGGAGGACTTGGCCTGGGATTCTCTGGGCCGGAGTCGGCAGCTACAGCAGGGAGTCTCCCGTGCTCCTTGTCCAGCTGCAGATATCCCACCCTGGTTTCTGTGCAGCGTTGAGCTCTGACATCTCTGTTGCTTCCCTTCTGGTGCTGCTGCTCCTCCCTCGCTCTCTTCTCTCTGCACTTCCCCGTGGGCCGCGTCGCTTGCTTTCACTGCCATCTGGCTAGGACTCCCTTCTTCCTTCCCCGAGAAAGCCTCAGTGTGACCAGGAAGATGCTGTGGCCGGTAGGGCCATAAGGTCTTCTGGGGAGGCTAGCTGGGTGGGGCGGGAGCCTCTCATCCAGATTCGGAACCGGAGCCCATTCCTCCTCCCTTCCTCTTGCTGCCTCAGCCTGCCCCAGGCCTCGGGACTAGGCAGAGGTGAGGCCGGCTATCCCTGGAGAGGTGGGATAAGGCCAGGGTGCCCCAGGAGGGAGGCTAAGGAGGGGACCGGACCCCATCCTACTTCACCATGCATCAGGGCTCAGGGAGAGGCCACAGGGCTAGCCCAGGTCTGCATGCTCAGCTCCGTCCTCCACGGCTTGCTGCTGACCCTGTCTCCTATCACCCCACCCCCGCTCTCTCCTCAGATGTGTTCTGAGCTGGATGTCCGGGATCCAGAGCCGCTGCACAGTTCCAACAGGACAGCGCCCTCCCCTGTGCGCTGGGAGGGGACCCACCATTCCTCTCCCTCACCCATGCTAAGCGCAGAGCTGGGCCTGGGTGGTGGGTGGGGGCCGGGTGGGAGGCATCCTTAGTCTTAGCCTGTGAACTCTTCCCTGGGTGTTTGGTGCTGTCTCTTGGGGACTACAAGTCCCAGAATGCAACACACCCTGCCTCATTTCTGATAGATCATGCTAGGGGAATCGGTGAGTGTTTGTGGAGCTGTGCATATTGGGACATGTAGTTCCAGCCCAGGTCAGCTTGTCACTCACTGTGAGAAGGGGAGATCTTGTCATCTGATTGGACTCTGGCGGGGGTGGTAAGAATGTGGATGAAGGGGTAGTGGACCAAGCTTCGGTTCCCCTGACACGGCTTGCTAGCCCCTGGCTTAGAGTGTACAAATGAAAACCCTGCAGCATCTGGGAGAGGCTCTTTTCCTCTGCGCAGTGGGATCCGATGGGACTGGGACGGATGAGCAGGGCGTGGCCCCAGGAAACGACTGACAGGCCTGGGCGGGCAGAGAGCTTGGAAGGGGAGGCCACCAGTGTGAGAGAGTGTGTGCGTGTGCGTGTGAGCGTGAGAACACACACGCATGCGCGTGGCCGGGGTTGGTGTGTGATGGGTCCTCCGGGCATGTTGCTGCTTGTATGGCTTCCTTGGCCTCTGACCCTGCTGCCCATTCTTCTCCAACACCACAAATGAGCTGCCTCTCCTCCTCCTGCCTGGGGAGCCCCGTGGCCAGGGAGGGGAGTGGTGGAAACAGGGTGTTGCCAGCCCTGTGACAGGCATCCCAGAGACCTATCAAAGCCAGCTGGGCTGAGCTCAGACCGAGAGAGAAACACTGGAAGTCAATAAATAAAAATGTTTTGAGAGCTCGGTGGTGTACTGCGTTCCCGTGTTCTTTCTTTACGGGGTGGCCCCAAAGGGGACCCTACGGGACCAGTGGGTGACATAGCCCCCTTTGTTGCCCAAACACCCAGAGGTCACAAGCTTCCCAGTTGACAGCAGAAGTCCCCCGTTTGACCAGGCTGCACTCCCCAAGTACACTGTTGAGTCCCAAGAAATTCATTCTTCTGGCCTCGCCTCTTGTGGCTCCACCACTGGCCTTCCCCAGGCAGGGACCCGCTGTCCACTAGCCTGCCCCACAGCAAGGACCAGGCTAAGTTATGACTCAACCACAAGTATGGGAATGACAGAAAGTAGGGAACACGTGGTGAAAACGTGTAAAAACTACTCCTAAGGCCCACAGACTGAGCCCCTCTCTGGGTTCCCTCACCTCAAGGCCAGGGGCCAGTTGCATAGGCCTGCCTCTCCCAGGTGAAGCAGTCCAAGTCCGCCCCACCCAGGGTCCAGGCCCCAAACTTGTCAGGACCCAGACGGGAAAAAGCTAGGGACCTCCTCCTCCCTGCTCTCCAGACACCTTCAGAGATGCCCTTCACGGGACAAACAACTTTCCACTGTCAAGCAGAGTGAGGTGGCTCCCTCGTGACTCTCTCTCCCATTCCAGGAGAGTTGCCTAGCTTCATGTTCTACAGCCAGAGGGCCTGTACTGTACTTTTCTCAAAGCAAGTAACCAGCAAGGAAGTTCTTGAAGAGGAACTTCAAGCCTCTATCTTGAAAGAAAGAATCTGCTGGAAGTTTGTAAAATGGCTGTTTTGCCCACTCTTGGTCTTTGAGATGTCAAACATTGGATCTGAGCCTCAGCAGAGCACAGGTGAGGTGTAGGGGGTCCTGTGGTCTGCTCCCAGGTCCGTTTGCTCCCTGTGCCAGGCAGGTGGCAGTAACCCCCTGTTGTTTATATGAGGGGACAGCCTTGGCAAGGTTAAGTGTTCCTAATTCCCAAGTTGCTCCAGGCCCAAGGCTCTTTTTGCCTAATTTCTGTGTCCATCACCTTTGTCCAAGGATGCCTCCTGACATGCACGTGTGGAGGACATGGGGCCCTATAAGAAGGAGGGTTGGGAGAGGGTGAGGAAGTGCCCCTGCCCCCAGGTGGATGGATGCCTGTTGTGATGTCTCACAGGCCTGGTGTACAAGCTGCTACCAGAGTCTAGCTAGTTTTGCTTGTGGTGTGCCAGGCGCTTGGCCTGCATGAGGCTCATTATCCTAGGGCTGAAGGGCACAAAGAGATGGAGTCTGGAAGCAGAGACGACACAAAAGTGTAGGAGTCCGGGTTGCAGCTGCACGCATGACACACTAACTTTATTCACATTGATACAAAAGTAGATTTTTCTAGAAATGTTCTCTTGTGCCAGAGGGCGAGAGTGGAGTGGCATGTGGCAGGAGGGCAGGGGAGGAGGCCCTAGGGAGGCGGGGAGGGCAGGGGCCAGAGCGTGGGCCACAGAGGCAGGGCGGCAGGCAGCGGGGGATGGGCAAGCAAGGAGGACGGGCCCTCCACCGGGTTGGTCCATACAGACATCCTGGGAGCTCTCAGAAGAATGGGAGCTGGGCTGGGGAACTCGGGCAGGAGAAGGCTCTGGGTGGAGGACTTTCCTCTGCTCCTGGCTGGCTGTCAGCCCCCCCACCCAGCCCCTGCCTCCCATGGGACTTCCTGGGGGCTCTGACAGGTGAGAGGCTGGATAGGTTTGCCCCTTCCCACATCCCCTGCTTTACAACTGGCCATGCCCAAGAGGGACCCAGGCGGTGGGGTTGGGGGAAAGGAGGGGGTACACAGAGAGATGCTCACACAGGCAAAGAGGGAGCAGAGGCTGGTCTGCCCACTGAGGGGCCCCAGGGGTCTCACTGGGGCAGGGCCTTGAGGATGGCGTTCACCTCCTCCGCCACAGCTGTCAGAGCAAATTCAAACTGGTCCTGGTGAAGGGCAGGGGGAGAATGGTCATGGAGAGGACTGACCTCTGCTCTTGCCCTGTGGGGGGGAGGGAATGGGGAGGGGGAGCTTTTGGGGAAGGGAGGGGGGCTTTTGGGCAGGGGAGCCAGGGAGGTCACTTAGGCCAGGGGGAGTCCTCCCGGAGCAGGTGGGGGCAGGTGGGGGAGGCAGGCTGTTGCCAGTCTCCCTGGGCGAGGCTGGCAGCTCAGGTCAGTGTGGGGAGGAACAGTCACCTTCGAGCGGACAAGTCCAGGCCTTTGGTCACGGACGTGCTCCAGGGTGGCAGCGATGTCGATCTCCTTTACTCCTGGAGATTGGAAAGGGCACAGGGTTTGCCCAGAGGACAGGACCCAGAAAGCCTGGAGCGCCCTGGGCTGGGAGGCTTAGAGGACTGGGCAGAGCCTGGGGGTGTGATAACTGGTCCCTCCAGGAGCTCCCAGGAGCCTGGGTGCTGGGATAGCTCATCAGGGGCAGGGCTGCGGGCCCTGTGAGGAAGGTCCTCACCTTTTGCCATGCGGTTCAGTACCATGTCAATAAGGATGTAAGTGCCAGTCCTCCCCGCACCGTCGCTGAAACAGGAGAGGATGACAGGCTCGGCTCAGGACCCAGCAGAAAGGGGGAGGGGCAGAGGAGACAGGGAGGCTCCTCAGGATGGGGAAGACACTGGAGGGGCCAGTAGGCATGGTTGAGGAGGCATCAGTCAGAGCCTCGGCGGTCCCTGGGAATTGGGTCTTGAGTGGGGGACCTGTGAGCCAGGGGGTGTCACTTGGGTAGTGGGCCAGCCTAAAAGAAGAGCCCTGGCTCAGTCTTAAGGTGAAATCAGCTGGGACAGAGGCGGGATAAGAACGGTCCTTTCCAGCCTCTGGGCAGGCTTTTGTTCAGCAATCTTTTGGTGTAAATGGTCAGAGGATAAATATTCTCAACTTTGTGTGCGACATACAGAGAGTCTCTGTCACACATTCTTTTTTACTTTTCTTCAACCATTTAAAAATGTGAACACCATTCTTAGCTCATGGGCCATTTAAAAAAAAACAACAAAAAACAGATGGTATGTTGAAGTTGGCCTGTGGGCTGTTGTTGGCCAGCATCAAGGGGCCAGACAGCATGCATGGGAGATGTGCCCACGGAGGAGGACCAGAGAGAGGGGTGGCAATCAGGAATGCCCCACCTCAAGACCCTCTGGCCTGGGCTGGCCTGTCCCCTGTGACCCCACCCCCACCCCTGCCCCCAGCCCTTCCGCACGCACCTGCAGTGCACAATGATGGGGCAGGAGCGGCCCCGGTAGCACTTGTTCACTTTCCTGCAACAAGAAGTGGATGTGAGGGGGGGCACCAGCACATACCTGGGGGCCGCTTTTTCTTCTTGTTCTCCCCATGTGCCCAGGGCAGAGGAGGGAAGAGAGCTGGAGAAATGAGTCAGGGCAGGAGACAAAGAACCAGGATGATGTGGGTGGCCCTGGGCTTGCCTTGTCACTTAATGAGCTTGATGCCCAAGTGACGCACCTGGGAACAACAGACTTGGCCTCTTTGAGCCTCAGTTTTCTTGTCTGTAAAATGAGGGTATAATAATAGTAACCCTCTTCTTAGGGTTGTCACCATGATTGCATGAGATAATCCATGTAAAGAATTAAGTGTGAGGTTTGACATACAGTAGGTGCTCAATAAATGGTAGTACTATTAATGATACTACGTAATATTAATAGCCACCTCTGCTAGAAGTCCAGCGAGAATAGGTTTTCTGGTGACGTCAAGGGTGTCAATCTCCTCACATTCCCGCTCTGCCCCTCTGCCCTCCTTTACAACTGCCCAGGATGTTCCACTCCCCAGTCAGGCTCCTGGTGGTCCTCACTAGCAATGAGGTCGGGTAGCCCTAGGCACAAAATTTCTTTCACAAAGGGAAGACAATCTTCTGCTCTGAATGTTATACAGCTGTCTGTCTCCCTGAATCGGCCTCATCCCAGCACAGGTGTTCTGTGGTTGGGTCATATTTAGACTTGGGGTCCACTTGGACCTCAGACTCTTTTCTGTTACACTGACAGCTGCCCTCTCAGCAGGGAGCAGAGGATTTCTCCCTTCCTCAGTGGCCTAGTCTAACCTGCCCTTGTCCCTTATGACTTTCCTCCTTTGAGAATTACCTGCAGAATCCTGATACCCCCAGTGGGCCAGGACCAGGGAGGACCACCTGAAGAGTTATTAGATTGTTTCAGGGGAAGCTTGGAATTTAATGATCTACCATTGAGACTCCCCCAGACTTGCAAGGGCCAGGTGACTCTGAATGATTTTACAGATGTCCACATGGTTTTCTAGCAAGTTGGCTCATGTGTTAGAGAGCTGAGGTTGAACAGAAGTATCTGCAGTAGCTCCCAATCATTTAATAATAATGACAGTGAATCATATCTAGAATTCATTGAGCCTTTCCTATGCACAGGCACTTAAACGAGATTTTACAGACTTTATCCCATTGACTCTTGTAACAACCCCTGAAGTATGGGTCATCATCCTCATTTCACAGGTAAGAAAAACAGAAATCGAGCAACTTTTTCAGAGTCGCTTTTTAGCACTTAAAAAAAAACGAGTTTGCCTTCCCTCTGTGTAGACCTCCAACAAACCATATTTATTAAGCAGCAGTTAATTTGTT